CCCGCCATATATATATAAATCTATATATATATATATATATAATATATGGTTAGCGCCTCCGGTTCCGGATTTGCCTGTCACTGTGGCCAGCCACAGGACGCCTGCGCCTACAGAGGGACCATGGATGGCTTGCGCTGCACCACCCACAGCTCCATCCACACACCCCATATCCAGTGTAAACCCGAAGGAATAAGACCGGGAGGCATGCGGATAGGAGCCACGTTTCATCAACGGAGCCGGCCCACACTCCTTCACAGGCAAACACAAGCACGCTGTATTTGGGGAATCAAGCGCACACAAGGTGGTGGCTGGACCGTAGTCCGCTTCACACTGAGTGCATGGAACCACTCTTCGAGCCTAGCAAGACCACAAGGACCGTGCACCCCGTCCCCTCCAGCAACGACCATGTGTTTCCTGGAGCCAGTATGGACGAGGTAGTGGGTAATAAACAGGTAGGCACCTTGTCATCATGACCATCAAGCGCAGCCACACCTGGGATGCCAAACAACAGGCAATCATTCGAAATGCCGATATCGAATAAAGTAAACGTATATGACGACATAAATACTCGCAAAATGAGCATATGGAAGAAAGTGGTTAAATGCGAATACGCAATAAGTAAAAAATGTCCGAAAGTTATTTTAAAAATGCCACGCGATAAAAATAACGCAAGTTTACCACAATTTGCATGAGCGGCGTGTGTAAGTTGGGAGAAGATTATCAAGTACGCAGAAGGAACGAAATAAAATGGAATGAATTTTATCCATATTAAAAAGCCCTAGTTTAAGTGTAAGTCGGTTTAGCCCAACTGTGTTGAAGAAGCATCATGAATGCGACATCTGCCTCAGCATGTGGGCAGAAATAACGAATATATTTGTATATATATATATATATATATATATATATAATATATATATATATATAATATATATATATATAGCACATGATCCGGCGGCGTCCGTATCCGGAGTTGCCTGTCACTGTGACGTCCATGGGGACAGTCACAGGACGCACTCAAGCGGAATCCAGTATGTTACATACCGAGAGTGAGCTATGGCATCTTCCTCTTCGTATTATTATTCGGCCGTGGTTCACATCAAAATGTAAGCTCACATGGTATTACTCACCATAACCGTAGCTTGACCAGCTGATCAATGCTAATTTGCATGACGCTATAGAGCCAGTACATTCGCAGAATAATGGTTCAGACCATCCATGAGCTCATTCGTAATTAGACGTGCGGCGCGGTGTTTCCGAGCGATTGTGATGCTTGCTACGGAATCATTGCTAGGGTGGCAAATTATTGTTTATCAGTTCGATGGATAGGTTTGAATCAAAAGGTTATTATCGTTTGGCCGTGTACAGTTTGCCGGTAATTCGTCGTTTATTGCGCACTGACTATTCGACATGCAAATGCTCGTAACATGGAAAGTTTGGCTGTTATTCTTATCTCCAAGTGGAAGCGTTACACGTTCACCTTATTAGTGTTCTTGAGGATAAATATTCTCCCATTGGGATCGTGATGTATGATGCACAACTGTGAGCCCAGTGCATTGGTGCGAACATTCCGCAGTTGTTAACGCTCAAACTGACTACAACCTCAATGACCAGACGCAAGAATACAGGTTACCATGCACTGTAGGAGTTTTCCTTCCTAGGTGTCAGTACCCACACAATGACTGGAGCTCAAAGGCATGGGAACACGTTCGTTCTTCTCGGACGACAGTGCTTAGCAATCTCACTCACCAGCGCTTCACAATGCACGCAGACCTAGTGTCCGGCCAGAGTACCAATCGCATTGGGAGTGACCTCGAATAGTCATCAAGCATCCATGTGAGTGTTGCTCATTTGCAATGTCCGCAACACATAGGCCCTCCTCTATATGCCCAGTTGAGAGGCCACAACCGTGTGTGTGTGTGTGCACATACAGATTTCCTATCAACCATCATGGCTGGAGGATAGACACCATGGTTACGGAGCCTACAAGATCCACTGACGTACTTGATTTAATAATTACATTAGGAATCGTCGAGGCAATCGCTCTGCTGGACTGTCTGCCAGGTACTGACCAGCAGTATGCGGAAGTTAGACAGGAAAGCTACAGAAAATTCACAGAGGTCATTCACCAAATGTTTGTTCAATAAAACATCCACTCGAAACTATCGCAAACAGCTTCGCAGCGAGCCTCGCTGGCTGCGACGTCTAAAGAAAAGCTTGATGCTCCTCCACAATTTGCTGCACCAAAAAACGTACTCTGACTTACATAACCTAGAGATAAAACTCGATGACCATCAGAGAGAGCTTTGGTTACATTGCTAAGCAGCAACACGGGTTCCGTCAGAATCAGTCGTGCACGACCAATCTATTGTTAGCGCGAGACAGCTGGACCGAAACTGTGGACGCTGGTGCATGAGTTGATGTGGCCTACCTTGATTTCTCGAAGGCATTCGACCGGTTGGACCATCGTTTCCTTCTCGCCAAACTTCAAGGATGTGGCACTGGGGACCCTCTCCTCAGGTGGATCTGCAAGTTTCTCTCGCACAGGCGTCTGGAGGTGAGAGCACGTGAATCCACGTCAGACCCAATTCACGTCGAATGCGGAGTGCCACAGGGTACGGTATTGGGCCCCCGTCTATTCTTGGCCTTCATAAACGATTGAGTGAGACAAATTGCGTCGAACTGTTTACTCTACGCCGGTGACATCAAAGTTTGGCGAGTGATCAGAGCTTCAGAGGACCGTATCCGGCTTCAAATCGATTTGACAAGATTTATGGATGGTCGGTCCAAAATCGCCCTTTCAATGTGGCTAAATGTGGAGTGCTCCATTTAAGACACCGAATAGTTCACACATATAAGCTGGGGGACCAGGAGCTGCAACACTGTTCTCTCGAAAAGGATCTCGGTGTGTTGGTCCAGGAAGATCTCGGCTGCTCGGAGCAGTCCAAAAAGACATTGAAGAAGGGGATCCAAATCGTGGGGCTTCTGCGGAGAGCTTTAGGGCAATTCGAACCGTCGATTTTCAGCCAAATACTTCCCGCTTATATACGCCCACTTGTTGTAGAAAAAGGTTCTCGCTGCGTGTTTTCCACACGTGGAATACCCTGTCAGAAGCTGTTATTTCAGCCCCGAAGTTATCTGTGTTCAAAGCACATGTCGACAGTGCACTGGCCACACCACACCATATCACGTAATCCAAACGACTCATACAAACAGCAGAAGAAAACAAACCAACTAACTTCCATTTTTGCCCGGAAACCACAGATGATAACCTTGGATAGTATATAAAACGGACGGGAACGCTGTAATCGGCAAGTTCGCAATTTGCAGTTGTTCACTACTTCCTATTGCCATTATTTTGCTCACCCCTAACCGATCATCCGGCGGGACATGTCAAGCTTCAGCTTTTTTTATCCGTAATATACCATTGACCCCGTAACAAAAATTTACGCTACGGATACAAAGGACTAGAACATCAATGCGGTCCAACTTTTTCCTCATCAGATACGCCGTCCTGTGGAACAGCCTACCAACCACAATAAGGACATGTGGAAACTCCACGTCATTCCACATCATACTCGACAGATTATTAGATCTATAAGTGTTATCATCCATGTTTGCGTACGACAACTCACCTGATGACATATTCCAGGACGGTCCGAAAAACATCTAGAAGGCTAAGAATTGGTGTCAACATGCACTCATGCAAGAGCATTTCCGTACATACTGATCTGTTTCTAATTTAGGAAGAGTTTCTCACCCTTTCGATAAATATACGTATACCAATTATTCCTCCTGGTGCATCTTGCGTGCAGTGACCTCCTGAGTAACAGATACCCCGAAATCCTCTGTGCCCCTTGACTCGCTACCTACCCATCCTTAACCTCAGGTAAACGATCAACGCGATAGGCAGATCAAACATCCACCCCATTTCTCAGATTTTATGAATGTTTGTTATTTTCATTGACACGCGTGTTTTTCACCTTTTGCAATAATCATGTGTTCAGCACACGAAGGTGTTGCATAGCCGACATAAACTTCATTGTGGCAACTGTAAACAGACTGCTTCTTTTAACGTTTAGACCTGTACGTTTCGCTGCAGCCTAGGTACAGCTTGTTCTAGCGGATTGTCGAGATGCACAACTTACCCAAGCTCGTTTTCGCGTGGTTCTACCTTGCTTGATACCAGTGTCGTGATTTGTGCGCCCGACTGCCTACCTCGTGCGCCGTCAGAAATATACATGCTATCGTCCGACGCCGAATCGGAGCAGGAGTTATTTTTATGAGGTGAATCCATTCATTAACTGATTTGGTATTCATACTTAGTGGTTTGCTATACCGTGTTATCTCTCCGCGTTCAACTCACATGCACCGACAACGTCCATACCTCCTCGAAGTTTTACATTCCAGAACCCAAACCACTAGAACCGCGCCACGGCGATACCTGTATTACTCGATACCACCCCGAAGTTCCCGTCGCTTGGTTCCGTTGATCGTGAATGACAGCAAAGCGGTTGGCCTCCACGTGATGTCAACGAGGACGCCTAGATTTCTTAGTGGGACGAGGGCGGTATTGACCGTAGACTAAGATGCAATGGGGGAGATAACCCTTCCCAAGTGCACCATTGTACCAGCAACTGAACAAAGGTCCAGTCAAGCTTTATCTGAACTAGGTAGTTTTTGCAATCCGACGGGCCTGCGCCAATGGTCTACCGAAGATGCATTCAGTCTACACCCAATAATGATAAAGAGTAGATAAAAATGTATTGTTTCAGCATATTCCGCGAAACGCTCCAGGTGGGCATGGCTGATGCTTCGAGCACCATTCAAATGGGCTTCGCGAGAAATTTGACGCTACAAAGATAGCGGCAGTACAGATTCTAAGCACGCGCATGTTGGGTAAGCATCACGACGCATGACGTGGCGAAGAAACAGTGGTTTTTCACAGAGAACTGACAAGTCATCAAATGAGTAATCCTTTTTATTGATCAGTTCTGTGACCATGGAAACTTCCAGGAAATGCTACAAGGGTGAATGGAACAGGAAAACCGATCCCTACAGATATCATGGAACAAGTAAGCAATATATATATATATATATATGCATTAAAAAAGGCCGCCATGGACAAAACTACACCAGAAGGAAGGTGATTTCTGTTTGTTTTAGTAGCATTGTATTTGAACAGGCTCAAAAAGCAGTATGTAACTACTTTCTAAACATCTAGTAGGAAGCCAAACGCCGGTACACCATTAGTGGTCAAAGGGGCTGATTAAGGCCACGGGCTGGGCTGGTGATAGGCGAGAATGTCGTAGAAACTCGAATATTCTAGCCATTTATTAGCATTTGGCTACTAAACTGTAGTTTTGGCATAAATAGACTGGGCAAACACACCGAAAGTGTGTTCATAGAGACAAAAGAATCTAGAAAATAGGAATGATGCCTAAACGGTGGGGAAAAGTAAGAGAAAAGGCGCAGGTAGTGCAGGATTGCATCCACTCATGGGAGGTGAGGAAGAGAGGAATTGCATGCTTGCACAAACATTTGGGAGAATAAAAGAAGAAACAATAGGAATAACGGTCACCGGTAAGTGTGGGCGCAATCTGAGGGGATTTCGGGTGTGAGCGGACGCTCGGTGCATAAGGGCTCAGCGGACGGGATATGCGGTAGGCTGGATTCTAAGCCTCTTGCTTGAAGGAACTCAAGAGACCATCGCAGACCTTCTTCGCGTCCCCCAAAAGCATATCTGTGTTATCCTTAAAGAAGACCGGGTTGTCTACGGCGGCATAGCCAACACCAAGTGTTCGTTTCACCACGATAACCTAAAGAGCAAAAAATAATAGTGTCCGATAACGGCATACACGCAGATCCACATTGAATGGAAGACAAGACCCGAAGCAACAAATGGAGGTGGCGGTAATTGCGTTTGGGTAACGCTTTGCATTAAAGAAGAAACGTGGTACTTTAAGCACTCACAGTAGGATGTGTGTATAGAGAAATATAATGGGTAAGGGCGTCGAAAGATCTCGTTGAAGTCGTAGTATTGTGGGCGAGTAACAGCTAGGACTGACCTTACTAATAAATTAGAGCAAAAATTCACGAAACCGTTCAAGCGAAATGAACCAGTCTGGCAGCCTAATGGCCGCCGATAAAAGTGAATTCAGTATGAATAGACAGTAGCGGATGTGTGACGCGTGTTGTTCGGTGCTTGAAACCAATCGTTTAAATGTGATGAGCGCAGCCCACTCCCGTCAAATTGATATAGATATGCAACGTACCCAAGGACATAGATATAAGTCATAGATTAAAATACAAATTGCCTTTGCAAACATTGACATTCGTTCAGTTTGTCTACCATGATCGAAACGTCGGGGTGCGTTGTTAAAGTGGTGTGCCGCGCGAAAGCAACAGGAAAGTTCATACAAAGCGTGCCACGACTGCCCGATGATGATGTGAATAGCTTCGACGAGGTAGAGCGTACTCACTGGAACCTTGGGACAGCGGAGACATGGAACCGCGAACAAAACGGAGAATTACTAATGAGTAGACGGATTTGGGTATGATTCGGTTTGGTTCATCGCAATTAGATTCCAAGCCGCATAGGTAAGCTACCAATCCGGAAAAGCACCAGACGCGCGTTTCGCTTTATTGGGGCTCGTCACTGGTTCGCATCCATCGGTCCCCTATTAGGGATCCAACCCATGACCGCTAGAGACTAACGCCAACTAGCCAGCAGCTTATGACATTGAGCCATGGGTGACGACAGCCGACCATTGCGAATTGAAACCTAACTGCGATATACCCGACCCATCCTCCACTGCCGTGCAGAGGACAGTGGTTGAACGTCACGGTCAGGTCTTCCCTTGTCAGCGCCGTGAATCCACACAGCAAATTTGAATACCGGTAGGGCTTAGAATTTTGATTAGCGATGTGTAGACGGATTTGGGTATGATTAATTTTAGCTCATCGCAATTAGATTCCAAGCCGCATAGGTAAGCTACCAATCCGGAAAAGCACCGGACGCGCGTTTCGCCCTATTGGGGCTAATTAGTAATCAAAATGTACGCCCTACCAGTATTCAAAATTGCTGTGTGGATTCACGGCGCTGGCAAGGGAAGACCTGACCGTGACGTTCAACCACTGTCCTCTGCACGGGCAACAACCTGCACGGCAGTGGAGGATGGGTCGGGCTATATCGCAGTTAGGTTTCAATTCGCAATGGTCGGCTGTCGTCACTCATGGCTCAATGGCATAAGCTGCTGGCTAGTTGGCGTTAGCCTCTAGCGGTCATGGATTCGATCCCCAGTAGGGGATCGATGGATGCGCACCAGTGACGAGCCCCAATAAAGCGAAACGCGCGTCTGGTGCTTTTCCGGATTGGTAGCTTACTTATGCGGCTTGGAATCTAACTGCGATGAACCAAAACAAAAACGGAGAATGCATGACGCATAACTCCGAGCGTAGCTGCTTGCTTGTTGTAGACAGACGTCGTTGACCGAACCCAGTGACGTTTGTTTAGTGTCGTTCTCACATATAGGGTAGACGATTACATCTCCACAAAACTTACACGATGATCGGAAACCCTGCCAAAGTGATGCACTCACACCGCACGACCCCACCACGGACCAGAGATAAAATACAGGCCTCTCGCACGATGGTTTTGACGGTCTCAGCGAAGGCGATAGAGGTCGGCACGCCCAGTTAATTATAGCACAAGTGTCTCACTTCGTCGGGCGAGTTTTGGCGAAAAGAGATTACCCACGAGATTCAGTTGCGTTGTTATTCTGAAGTCAAGTGATCACACTATGAGTGCCCCACACGGCGCAGCCTTTTGATTGCCTATGCAAGTAGTAGAGTCTGTGCCGCGTGTGCGGTATCAATTGGCGTTCTCGCAACATTGACAACAGTGGGAACCAGACTAGTGGTCTCTATACGTACTGTCCAGATCAAAAGTCGTCATATTGGTGTGTAACTGGAATAAACTAAAGCCTAATACAGGGGACTGTGAAGCTTGAGGAGGAGTGCTCGTTAACCTGATGGCGCAGAATGAAGCCCTTGAGGATTCCGTCCAGCTGCTTTTGGTCTGTCTCGCGTTTCAGATTATAATTACCGCGAAGCACCGTGTGGATGGCTCTAGATCATGGCCTGCATCCACTACCGTTAACCGGACAGTGTCCAAAATGTGCATAGTGGGTTACGATGCGCAGAAGCGAAAGCTGTCTCGTCGACGCCAGTATAGATTTGCACAACAATCAGCGTGCGCTTGTGTTGTAGGTATACTGGCAGGCATCATTACCTTTCCTTTCTACCACTAGTTCCTAGTAGTAAAGGTCTGAATGACAGCAAATCGCCATCATAAAGCTCTGTTTGTGAATGTGATGCTGATTATCAGTGAGTGGCAGGTGCGCAGAAACAGTTGGATAAGCGATTGTGGATTTCAGCAGAGATTCGGCTAGTGATGTACCATCTTTAAAAATGCAAACCACGAGCAAGGACAATACTCATATTGGACTGTCGAGGTGGATAAATGGCCATAGTGTTTCCACTTCACATGTACGCCGGCGACAGACCGTGGACTCGGTTAGCTCCTTAGTACTGATGGCAGACGGAACACGCAGATTCGTGTCATCTTTGTTACTTAGTCATAGTAACACCTGAGTGACATGATTCTTGTCACCGGCCAGCGAGTACGCGCTTGATTGGTGACGCTGGCCCCGGCGTATGGCATGTGTTGTCACGTTCTGTTCACTCCCCATTGCATACCATTTAAGTCAATTAGTGGTCCAACGGAATTTAGGATCCCATGTACTATATAGAAGAATAACGGAAAAAGCTAAGAACAAGGATGGATTACCTTTTTGGCCAACCAAACCCGCAAAACGGGCATTCCAGCTATGATGGAATTTGGGTCTTCCTCAGCAGCGGAGTTCACAGTGTCGTTGGCGCCAATGACCAGCACCAAGTCTGTTTTCGGGAAGTCGGCATTGATTTCGTCCATCTCAAACACAATGTCGTAAGGAACTCCGGCTTCGGCAAGCAACACATTCAATTGCCCAGGCATTCTACCTGTATGCACAGACAAAGGAGAGGTATGGTAAAGATGGCGAAAGCATGCTAGCGGCGGCCCGCGGAGGTAATGGGAAAAATCACGGAGAGTGGAAAACGACCACGGTTTGCAGCGGACAAATAACCGGAGAACACAGCGCAGGTGTTAAACATGTTGACAACTGTGACTCCGGTAATGAATTCGGGTGCAATGATAAAAAGTAATATCAAGGAAACTAAGGGATGTTTGGGAGGTGAAATGAAAATGGAAACACCGATGAAGATAAAGGAGTACCGTAAGGAGACATTGCGCAGTTTCGATTCACCCTCTTACACAAACTCCCAAGTATAAAGGTATTATTGGAATTCTCGTACGTCTAACTGCTCAGCGATAAGCTGCGGGGGAACGACGCCGAGCAACTGCAGTGACTCGCACTGGCGGATAAACATCTGCTGCCAAACATGACTCTCCTATCGTGTCTGGCTCTTTCACTGGAAGCTCCGATACACATTGGAGAGAGTTGCGCCAAATGTATGATATAGGATTATAAAAAGATGTAACTGTGAACACCACAGTTCATTTTTCCATCTGTAAAGCAACTGACTATGGTCTCCCTATTATCTGCTCTTGCTCCGAAATGTTTATCCAAGTTCAGCTAAAACAGCTGAATTAGCTATTCACAGTCGACTGGCAACGTAATATACATCCCATAACGCAGGATCACTGTTTTTCACCGTTTCGCGGATCACAACACAAAATCCAAAATAGCCATCAATTGACCTATAGGCAAATTCAACCGATCCCATACAAAATGTAATAGAATGGTGTTCGGTTGTTCAAAAGTGCTTAGAACCTCTGGCCGAACAGATTAGACTACTGAATCCGATGATCTCGTGGTTTACGCACTAGGCCCAAAACACGATACAAAGAGATACAGTAGTCCGTAATTGAATGACCTAATCTACCTCTGGACCCGAGGTGGGCAGATCCTGAAAAATGCTTATATCCGCTTGAACCCATAATGAAATAGAAATCATTAATGAGTTCAGTCGGTATTGCGAATTGTTGGGACACGCGCAAATGCAAGTATTGATGGCTTCGTAATTGGGAGGTGTCTCGCTTGTCGGGAAATATACGTATGTATCGACTTGTTAATTCAAGAAGACGCGTTTTCACCGGCTTACTGCCACTGTCATTACATCACTCATTAGAATGTGTGGCTCCATAGAGCCGAACACGCCGAGGCAACTGAATGGCGCAGCTGGTATGCAAACATTGTCCGCTTTAGTATGGGCTTCGCACATTCAAAACACTGCACGATTACTGAGTGACTTCTCTAAGTGGTCGATCGATTAACTCATATGGGTAAACACATCGCCTCTGGTGGTAGCTAAACGCAATGGAAATGCAGGTGTGGTTTCATGTGCATACAAAGGTATAAAACCAAGAGTAGACTGTAAAAGCTTTGCAAGCGTTAATATAAGGACCAGAGATAAGACTAAAGCATGCTTAGGGTACTCAGATAAATGACAGCGTCATCCAATAGCCTGAGCCTTCTGATATTCTTATTTGGAGGTATGAAAGGGATTTCATGTTTCGATTTATGGTAATGGTAGTACTGGCTGGCTTACCGAACTATCTCCTCGTGGTGCCAACTGGGTTGTTCGGGTGTATCCCGTTCCAGCAAAGTGTTCGGCGACAGTGTTCCACCTCGGTGGGGCATTGTAGTCCAGCAATTGTGCTGATTTCATAGGAGTATTGTGCACTTGTTTGGTGATCTACCAAACGAAAGACTATGAACTGAACATTCAGTCAGCAACGTCCAATGAGCGCGATTAGCTGAATTCGCCCAGCTGCCTTGCGGGTAGATTATTTAGCCAAAGGCTCAGGGTGGTGTCCCCTAAGTCAACTCCCTACTTCGGCTTGGGCAACCGGGTAGTACCACACCCACTCACACAACCATGGTCTGTACTACAACGTGCTCATCAGCTACCGTTTCAGCTTTTCACATTCACGCGAATTCACCACACGCCAATTGTTTGTTTGATAACAATCCTCACTTTCCGTTACCCGATTCATGTGTTCAAAAATCTGGCTACAATTCCGGTTGCGCCGCGAATCATGGAGTTCAACCTATGGCTCTCCTTTGTCCCCGATTCTCGTTCTGTCTGGCGGGCTTCAACGTTCGGACACTCATGTAGCTTGGACAACAAGCCTGTCTAGCGCGCACCCTAGAGTCCCGCAAAATTGATGCCTGCTGCCTTTCAGAAACCCGATTGCAAGATCCCAGCACTGTGCTTACATTAACATCCACCACTGATCACGAAGCCAGATATCACCTGCGTCTTTCTGGAGATCTACAAGCAGCCTCAGTGGGTTTGGCTGGTGTAGGTACAGCACTAAGTGGCAAGGCCGAGGCGGCCCTACTGGACTAGTTCTCGATTAACAGCCGATTGTGTGCAGTTCTGCTTCGGGATTCATGTAGAATCAACAACCGCCGCGAGGAGAGACGCAATTTGTTTGTGATCTACGTGTACGCTCCAAGTGACTGCAGTGGTGGCTCGGTCAAAGACGAATTCTACCGGGATCTACATCAGCTCTTGACTAATGCTAAAAAGTCGGATGTCGTTGTCCTTGTTGGGGACTTTAGTGCACAGGTTGGCCGCCAGTTACCATACGAACGCCACCATGCGCTCAATGAGAACCGCTCTGATAACGAAGAGAGGCTTCTCACATTGTGCGAAGACAACCATTTGTTTCCAATGAGCACTAACTTCAGGCGTACGAAGAAGCGTTCCGCAACATGGCGTCCCCCTTCGGCAACACAACCGTGGTCTCAAATTGATCACATTGCAATTAGCTTCAGATGGCGTGGCAGCGTACTGGACTGCAGGTTCTTTTGATCCACCTTCGCTGACTCAGATCATGCACTGGTCTGCGCGAAAATCTGTGTGTTTTGGAGGGTCCCGAAACATGAAGCACCGCAAGATTGATGTAAACAGATTAACTGATTCCTCTGTCCAGGCGAGTTATCAGTCTTCACTGGCATACGCACTCAGTTGCAATCCACCGCAAGACATAGAGCAACAGTGAACTAGTATACAGAAAGTGATGACCACTTCAGGACAATCAAGCAGCGGCATAGTTGGACGCCTCTTAAAGACCTGGATCTCTGCTCGTTCTCTGGAGCTGTTCGAACGCCGTAAAGATATCCCGGCGGAAGCAGATTGCAAAGAGCGGCGCCGTTCTGCCAACCGCCTGCTCAAGCAAAGCCTACGCAACGTTCGCGATGCATGGTTGTCTGAGCGTGCTTTAGAAATGAAGACCGCTGCCTTCTCTGGCAACACTCGTAAGCTTTTCCAACTCCTTCGGTCCACTGGCCTCAGGAAGCCTGACGTCAATGAGGTTATTTGCGAGGTGGATGAGTCTCCGATCACCAACCAACAGAGGCGTATGGACCGCTGGGCTGAGCACTTTCACTCGTAATCCAACTGGCCTCCACCATCCATCAGTACACGCAGCACACCTTGTTGTCCACGCAGACTCGTCCCACTGAATCCACCCAGTGGAGTGGAAGTCTGCCTCGAGATTAAACGCTTGAAGCGGTTGAAGTCTGCCGGCTCAGACGGACTTCATCAGAAGCTGTTCAGATACTGCGATGTGGCGACCATTAACCAGCTGACCACGCTGTTCGTAAAAATCTGGCTTCCTCTTAGGGCGAATCAGTTATTGTCCCGATTTTTAAGGTGCTCGCACTTCATGTGTAAAGCATTGCAGGGGATTAGTCTTATTTCGGTTGCCTCAAAGCGATTGGCATCCATTATGCTCCGTAGACTATCCCCAATACGTGAATCATCCCACCGTGAAAAACAAGCTGGTTTCCGTCCCAGCCGCGGATGCGTGGATCAAATATTCACTCTCTGCCAACTCCTCGAACACCGTCACATTTATCACATGTCCACTGTCGTTGCGTTCCTATACATACGTGCCGCTTTTGACTCCCTTGATCGACCTGCTTTATGGCGTTGCTTGCTAAAGAACCGGGTGCCAGAGAAACATACCGCTATCTTAAGAGCACTTTACCTTCATATCTCCAGCAGAGTGAAGATCTATGGCAAGCTTACCTCCCCATTCGTGTCAATAGCCGTGTGCTACATGGCTGCCCTATGTCTCCATTCCTCTTCAACTCCACAATCGAAGCCGTTCTGTCGAGTGCCCTAGAAGATTTCCAAGATTTTGGTCTAGAGCTTCTACCGGGTGAGCACGCGACCGACTTAGATTATGCTGATGATATCGCCTTACTAGGTGACGATGCTCAGGGTATACAAATCACTCTGGATCGTTTGGCGGTTGAAGCATCTAAGTATGGCATGAGCTTCGTCCCATCGAAGTGTAAAGTACTGCTCCAGGATTAGCTTACACCTGCTCCCGTGTTCACTCTCGAAAGTGCACAACTTGAACAGGTAGATAGTTTCGTTTACCTTGGGAGCTGTGTTTCTGCTGACTGCACTACCAACAAAAGTTTTTCTTCGCATCGCTAAAGCTCGATTAGCATTTGACAATGTGAGGCATTTGTGGCGTCGTCGCGACGTCTCATTCTCACTAAAGGGTCGCGTTTACAGCGCATCAGTTCGCTCAGTATTGTTGTATGGGAAGGAGTCCTGGCCACTGCGCGTGAAAGACATGCGTCGTCTTTCTCCCTTCGACAACGGTTGCTTAAGGAGGATCGCTCATGTTTGGTGGCAACGTGGGGTTCACAGTGATGACATTCGATCTCGCATCTTGGGGAATGCGAGTATTCCCTTCAACAAACTGGTTTTGCTGCGCCAGTTGAGATGGCTCGGTCATGTCCTTCGCATGGCATCTGAGCGTCTACCGCGTCGCGCTCTACTCTCTCGTTAAGGACTTGGCTGGAGGCGACCGCGTGGTGGTCAGCCTACCACTTTGTGACAGCACATGAAACCGCTGACGTCGTGTCTAGCCGCTGTTGGATCCGTACGTCTTCCAGGATGGGGACCCA